TTTCTTTCTTTCTTTCTTTCTTTCTTTCCTTCTTCCCTCTCTTTCTCTCTCTTTCTTTCCTTCTACAGGGTCTTACTCTGTTGCCCAGGCTGGAGTGCAGTGGTGCAATCTCAGCTCACTGAAACCTCTCCCTCCCAGGTTCAATCAATTCTCCTGCCTCGGACTCCCGAGTAGCTGGGATTACAGGTGTTTGCCACCACACCCAGCTAATTTTTCATATTTTCAGTACAGATGGGGTTTCACCATGTTTTCCAGGCTGGTCTTGAACTCCTGACCTCAAGTGATTCACCTGCCTCAGCCTCCCAAAGTGCTAGGATTACATGCATGAGCCATCACGCCCGGCCAGTTCTATTTCTTTCTAACATAAATTATTTACTTATTTATGACATTTATCATTTATATTTTTCTCCCATAGGATTTTAGCTAGTGAGAGCAGGAATCTTTTTTTAGGCATTGATGTGTCCTAAGTACCTAAAACAGTGCCTGGCACACAGTGGGCCCCTAATAAGTATTAGCTGTTGTTAATATTCAGCAAGTAGCAAACCTATCTAGGGCTTAAAGTAGGTATGCATATAGATTACTGGGTTTGTAGAGCCTTATGGATATCTGATGGTATTCTCTGCAAGTTCCTGTTGGTGAATAAGTTGAGCTAGGGCCCGTGGGCCATTGGTGTCATGTCCAGCCTCCCCTGCTATCCTCGCAGGGCTGCTGGGGAGTAACTCTACTCATAGCCTGAGCTGGAATGTCAGCAACTTCAGGTGCCCCTTTGTATAACACTTGTAGACTTTTCACTCCATGGACATTCCTAGAGCATGGATTCCCATCCAGCTCAGAATCCCTGTTCCCATGTCCTCCAGGCCCTGCTGTCCACCCCATCCCAGCTCCTCTGTGGTTCCAGGAATCTGTTGTCTGGTGATTGGGCCTGTGGGAGAAAACTGCTGGTTATAGCCAGAATGGGACTGGGGCAGGAAGCACTGAGGACCCGCTGAGGCCCGCCTCCTCTTCGTTTTCTGGCCTTAGGATGGTGAGATGATCCCCTATGGCTTCAACAACCAGACCAAGCACTGTCTGCGCCGGCTGGGAAAGCGTTATGAGTTCCAGATCCAAGACTTGAGGCCTGAGGACTCTGGCATTTACCAGGTCAAGGTGGAGGATGCTGTGGTCTTCTCCACAGAACTGGAGGCCAGTGGTGAGTGGTCTACACTGCCGAAGTTGGAGTCGGGGAGATCTGTGAGAAGTGGAGTCCATGTTGGTGCAATGTGTGTATCGGGGGGTAAATGTGATGTGGCCCCAGCTGCAAAGACAATTGGGAGACGGACACATACCTAGATGGCCAAATTTTGATGCTTTCTGTTTTCCAAAGCCTCGGTGCAAGTTATCTCTCCTGGGGCTGAGCTGGGTTCTACTGAATTACCGTCACAGACACAGAACATATGTGTCATGCCTCTGCTCAGACCTTCTGCAGCCACCAATTATTTTCAGATCAGATCCGGACTAATTGCATAGCCTCTAGAACTCCTTTCTGTTGCATGTCCTCATCTCCCACAAAGCCCTAGCAAGAATCTCTGGGTTAGGCATCCTCGTGCTCCATACAGACCTTTGCTTTTCTGCTTCCTGTATTCCTTCCCTATCTAGGAACTGCCACTCCTCCTTCATCAAACTCTGTGCCATCCCCATGAGTACCTGTGTCCACATCACTCTCAGAGCAACCTGCCAGCTCAAGGGGGTTCTTGAAAGGACAAGGAGAGGCCTGGGGAAGGGAGCATGTCCTAAGAACATGGCTAAATCGAGGTTGGGGGAGAGAAAAGGGGGTTATGTGTCCCAGCAGTGGGGAGGTGCCCAGATGGGACTTTGAGGAGCCTGAAAACAGTGCAGTTTGGGAAAAGGAGTGCAGGTTTGGGAGTCAGCCAGACCCTGGTGTGAATCTTGGTTTCTCTTAACTGCATAAGACTGGAGCAAGTTATTTAACTTTTTAAGCCTCAGTTTTCTCACCTGTAAGAAGAAATTAATAATACTTACCTGGGGGTAAGCAATTATTACTTGGATGAATAAGATAAAGGATGAATAAGATAAAGTACTGGCTCTTAGCATAGTGGTTTTCTTCATGCATCCACCTTGTCCCCAAATAGAACTTTTGGGTTTAGAAGTATGGAATCCTAGAGCTGAAAATAAGCCTCATTGCTCATAATTCTAACCCCTCATTTTATGTAGGGTAAATTGATACCTGAGGTCCAGAGGCGACCTATCCCAGGTAACACAGGGAGTTTGTGGCTGAGCTGGTCTAAGCCAGGATTTCTGAACGGCCAGCCTTGCCGCCTCAGGTCACACTGTGTCATACCATCAAGCTGATATCCCCATTCCTGCTTCCCTGGCAGCCATACCCCCAAGAGTGGTGGTCCCACTGGCGGAGACCCACTGTGAGGAGCACGGTGACGCAGTCTTCGAATGTACCTTCTCCAGCCCCTGCCCTAGTGCAGCCTGGCATTTCCGGCACCGGCTACTCCACCCCAGTGACAAATATGAAGTGTTTGTGTCCCCCGACGGGCTGACCCACCGGCTGGTGGTGAGGGGCGCCCGTTTCTCAGACATGGGCCCCTACTCGCTGGGCACTGGGCTGTACACTTCCAGCGCCTGGCTGGTGGTTGAAGGTGAGTGCTTCACATCTCTGTCTTTCTCTGCCTCCAGGGAAGACCTCGGGGCTGCGGAAGCATGAGGAAGGCGAGGCAGTGGGATTTCCTCTGGTCAGCCATTTGCTCTGGAACGATTCCCTTGCTCAGAGAGAATAAGGAAGGCTCCTTAGATTATTCTCCACCCATTGCTGTGCAGACCTTCATGGCCAACCCAACCCTTCTCAGCTGTGTCTGCTCCACTGGGTCTCTTGGAATTACTCTGGGGCACAGATGGTTCTAGGGTCCTAGGCAGCCTTGGGACAGTGGCCCAGGTTCAGTCTGGGTGAGAAGGCCCTGCACCAGACCAGAGCGCACTCTCAAACCTCCCTGGGGATTGAAATTTGGGTTCAAGATGTTCCCAGGAAAGTGTAAATTGGACATAAGTAAGGCAGGTGATAGAGCAAGTTGATATTTTAAAAACCATGCACCTGCTGCGGCAGTTTGATAAACAAATGACTTTTGGCTTATGCATTTTCTCCAAAATCCTCAAGAAGCCTGTAGCAGGGTGGCCTGTGGGTATGGGACTGGGGGAGGTGGTGATGGGATTCACCCATCCATCCCTGGAACACCCTGGCTGCCTTGCCAGGTGGTCAGCTTGCTTCTCTCCTGGGGAAGCGTAGGTCAGGCAAGCAGTTGGGCTCAGGCAGGTGCTTTGGCCGGATTTAACAGGAGTTTTGGTACTTTCTCTTGTCTCTCCATGTGGGCACTGATCTTCCATATGAATAAACACTCACTGAAGCTGGGAAGGATAAAGACCTTCAGTCCACAAGTGCTGACCACCAGCTACAGAGGCAAGGAGCCCAGGCCTCAGGAGCAGAAGAGTCTGGGAGCATCAACAGCCAGGGAGAGAAATTCAGAGAGCAGGACCCCAGTGGGGGCTCCCTTGAGGGGGCAGGGATGGCTTCTGGGTTCCAGCACATAGCCAGCCCAGACAGGGATGGCCTTGGCAGACATGGCTACTCCTTGATGGAGGACAAGGGGGCAGCTGGCTCAGCCTGGGGCCCTGGACAGGAAGGCGAAGGCTTTCTAGAAGCAGGGGGAAGCGGAGTCACTCTTCCCAGGGAAAGTCAATCTGGCAGAGAGGGAGGCTGGGCTGAAAGCCTTGCAGAGAGGCCCTATCTACAGGGAGAGAGCTCAGAATCAGGGTTGGGCCTCCCAGAAAAACGACAGCAAGATCGTGGCAGAGACAGCAATGGTGATGAATGCTGGAGGACAGCAGGAGGCTGGGAGGCTGGGTCCAGTCCGCTTCAGGCTGGAGGACTGGGGAGCAGCAGGGAAGGAAAGGAGCACAGAGGGGATAGTGGAAGACAACTGGATAGGCACGCCCCGGAGCAACTGTGGGATGCTCAACTGAGACCTGGGAGAGGAAAGAGTGACATGCAGGGCTACGAGTCTGATTCTGTAGGGTCCTGGCCAAGAGGAAAGCAGATAAAGATTTCACAGGGTGACAGCTTGGCTGAGATGGACAGAGGGGATGCTCCAAATAGGGAAAGAAGGAGAGGAGTAGTAGTGTGGGGTAGTGGGACTGGCCTGGGAGAAGCTGGAGACAGCAATGGGGCGGGAGGTCCTGGCACCCTGGAGTTTACTGGAGGAAGAGGTTCTGGCTCCAAGGCAGGTATGGGCCCTGAATCCTGGGATTCTCAGGGAGGTAGACCTACTGACTATGGGGAAGCCTGGGGCTACTGGGGGTCAGGAGAGTTTCTAGGACAGACACTTGGAGGCAAGGACTTCCAGGAACCATCAATATCAGGTGGTAGAAAATTCCTTCTGGGAGATGGGAGTCCTGAGATCAAAGCTGAAGACTCACTGCAGGAGGCAGATGGTCTGTGCAGGGGGGAATCTGTAGTTGGAGGAAGTGTCTACAAAACTGGCCCTGGAGGCCCAGGAGACCCCAGAGGCTGCGAAGGTGGCCTACAGAAGCTCAGGGGAAAGGATGACCAGGAAACAGCTTGGGCCTCAGGTGAGATAGGGGATGACCCCAGAAGCTTCCAGTCTTCCCAGGAGTGGACAGCAGGTCACAGAGCAGCAGGGGGTGTTGGCAGAATAGAATCTAAGGGCACAAGTCCTTGGGATGACACACCATCTAGCCTCAGAAAAACTGGGTCTGGAGTGCTGGGACCCAGTGGAGGGCAAGAGGGTATGGGTGGTACCCAGGTGGCTGGACTGACAGAGTCTGGTCAGGGGGTGGATGCCAGAAGCTGTGGGCTAAGTAGGTCTCCAGGCCTGGGTGCTCAGGGATCTGGGGGGATACTAGGAGATACAGAAGGATTAAGAGGTCCTGGGTCAATAGGGTCTGAACCAGATTTCTGGAATGGGTCAGGGAGCTCCAGAGTAAAAGGACCCAGAGGCTATAAGGATGACTTGGAAGGTCCTGGGAGAATGGAATCTAGGTACGAGGGTGGCTTAGGATATTCTAGGGGAATAGGCCCTAAAAGCGGGGCTGGTTACAGCTATGGCTCAGGGGTTCCAGGAGAAATGGGGTCTGGCCATGGTGCTGGTTGTAGAGTTTCCCCTAGGGCACCTGCGGGAATGGAGTCTGAGGAAGGGGGTGCATACAGGAATGGCTCTGGGGTGCCTGGTGGAGTGTGGTCAGGAAACGAAGATTCTGGCCCTGCAGGAGGAGGGTCTGGGAGAGTTGCCAGTCTTAAGAATGGCTCAGGTGGTCCATCTGATGGAGCACCCGTGGATGACATCAGGAATTGGGCCTCTGCACGCCAGGGCAGCATGGGCCCTAGGGGAGGGCACCATTCAGATGGCAGCCTAGGGAGTCCTGAGATGATGGGGTCTGCGGGTAGAGGTGGTCTCAAGGCCCCTGGAGTAGTGGAGACTGTTGGAATGGGATGTGTGGAAGCAGAACCAGAGAGCTCTGGAAGAATAAGGCCTTGGAGTCAGACTGGCTTCAGAGCCTCAGAGGCCCTGGAGGCCTTTGGAGAAGGAGGCTATGAAGATGGCTCTGGGGGTCCAGAAGCCATGGAACCAGGGTCTCTGAGGGCAGGGAGCAAAGTGGGTGAGGGGGATGGGACAAGATGCCCTGGTGCTAGGGCCTCTGGAGCTGGAGCTGGTTACAGGAATGATACCAGGCACCCTGAGGCACTCGCACCTCACACTGGGGCTGCTTCTGAGAGCCAGTGGGCTTATGGGGCTGGCAATGTGCTGGGTTATGAGGATGGATCAGAACTTCCAGGGCCTCAGGGAACTGGGGTCAGAACAGCCTATGGAGGAGGGTCAAGGGGCCTTGGGCCTAGGAGTACAGGACCAGGGGGTGAGGCAGCCTTTAGAGAGAGGTCAGGGGACCTCCAAGGAATGGGATCAGCAGATGGGCTGGGTTGTAGGAAGGGTATTGGGAGTTCGGGGGAAATGGGGTCAGTGGATAAGGAAGGTTACAGGGAAGATTTGGGGACTCCTGAGAATATGGGTTCGGGGAGCAAGGCTGCTTATAGGGATGGTGTAGGGGGTTCTGGGGCAATGGGGTCAATGGATGAAGCAGATTATAGGAAAGATTTAGGGGCTCCTGAAGGAATAAGTTCAGGGAGCAAGGCAGATTATAGGGGTGGTTTAAAGGGTTCCAGGGAAATGGGGCCAATGGATGAAGCAGATTATAGGAAAGATTTGGGGGTTCCTGAGGGAATGGGTGCAGATTATAGGGGTGGCTTAAGGGGTCCTGGGGAGATGGGGTCAGTGGATGAACCAGGTCATAGGAATGGGACTGGAGGTTATGGGGAAATGGGGTCGAGTTATAGGGAGGATGTGGGGGCTCCTGAGGGAATGGGCACAGGGAGCAAAGCAGTTTATAGCGATGGCTTAAGGGGTTCTGGAGAAATGAGGTCAATGGATGAGGCAGGTTATAGGAAAAATTTGGGAGCTCCTGAGGGAATGGATTCAGGGAGCAAGGCAGGTTACAGGGGTGGTTTAAGGGGTTCTGGGAAAATGGGGTTAATTGATGAGGCAGGCTCTAGGAAAGATTTAGGGGTTTCTGAGGGAGTGGGTTCAGGGAGTAAGGCAGGTTTTGGTTTTAGGGATGGTTTAGGGGGTTCTGGGGAAATGGGGTCAGTGGATGAGGC